AAAATATAAATCGACCAACGATTCTGCACGACAATACCACTTAATAATATTAATTTTTTGTTCGACACTGTACACCATTTTTATTTTGTAATATTCTACTTCTTACCAAAGGTTTGTGTGGAATTATATTAATAAAAATAAAACTAAACAAACAGCAAAGCGCTTTAGGTATTCGGTCGGTTCACAAAAAATGCAACGGGGCACGTGCGCTCCCACAGCCAGCCAATTGCGAGAGTCCGAGTCGCAGTCTTGATGATATATGTCATGTGCGACCCCTTCCACCCGAACTTGGTGTAATTTACTTAGTCTATACGAAAGAATTACCTGGCCAGACCTGTATACAGCCTTTCCGTACCGTTAACGGATCACCCTGTATATTTGCAATGTTTTTTTTTGCATAATTAAACATACAAGATACGTTTGTGGTATCAGAATAACCAATGATCTATATCGTACGTAATTTTACATACAACTTTTATTAGTGTACATCACATGACGTAACCCTGGTTACAAAAACGACAGAATACTGTATATCAATGTAGACTATACATATTTGTAGGAGACATAAACATAAAAAAATTCGGGTTAGTAAATCTTACCCCGCAAATTTCGCGCCGAGAAAAACCGCCGCGACTATAAATCATCCAATAAATCTAGCTGTTTGTTTCAATTAATTCCGCACGGAAGATTTGCTGCTCCTATTCAAATGCGAAGTCGAAGTTTATTGTAGTTTTAATACGTCTTGGTCGTCTGTCGACCCGACAAGCGGCCATTCTTTTGCATGCTTTAACTTACCGAGTTTGTTATAAACTCGAGGCAGTAAACTTTAACTTTGTTGGCAAATGACACAGGCAGCGCAGCTTGTTTTACGGTGGTGGAGTTGCGGATTAAATTGCGCTTGCTGCAGCGGAAAATGCTCACAATTAAAAGGGAATAATGTAGCTACGGTCGTGTGTATCGCGATTTCTCAGCAGGGGGTATTAGAAAACTTCGAATTTGTGTGGTGCGGTGGACATTTTTTCGGTTTCCCACCAAAATTGACACCTGAAATCCGATCTAGCTTTTCTATGACGAAATTCAAACCAGCATTTGCGCTTTTTTTATTCAGATTTCACCTTATTTCTGCCATTTGGTGTTGGAAAGAGACACCCCGTGACCTAAACAACTTTTATACAGGGTGTATCCTTTATTTCTGCCATTTGGTATTAGAAAGAGACACTCCATGACCTAAACAACTTTTATACAGGGTGAATCTGTACCTTCTATGCACTTAGGTACATTTAATATTTCTCAGATTTTGTTAGCTACAGGCATCATGAGCGTCAGTTAAAATAAAATGTAAATATAATTGCATCAAAAGTAAGTTAAACATATTTAAGTCAAAAAGCAACAACTTTTTTGTCATTTCTTATGAATGATTCAATATCTTTACAAGTGTTTTACTACACTACGTGTCAAATGTAAGAAGCACGAGGAGGTATTAGCAGTTGTGATTGCGCATCATGTTGATTGTTACTTATGGTTACAATTGCAGCTAAAATTTTGACACTTATTTCTAGGATATCCTGTGTGTGCTGTCTGAATCATTTTGGAGAAAATTGTTAATTTCTTAGTCTGCTACAACTTATTATTTCTTGAAAAGCTAGTCCTTCAAATAAGTAGTGCTATTAATTCAGTATAATTTGCAATATTAACATTATTAACTACATTTAATGTTACCTCAACCCTCAAAAGTCACACTAGTGCGAATTCGCACCACCTCTTTTTTAACAGCTGGCATTTCTCAGGTGCCGAGAGCACCTCCCACCTTCTATAAAAAAAACATAAAACACACCACAGAAATGAGACAACCCCCAAATCCAAAAGCCAAAGGCTTGTGCGGAAGGGGACTACACTTGAAAAAACGCGGACAAACACCCATTATCCATCGACATTGCCACTGCCGACACCGGGGATCGAACCCGGTGTATGTGTACCAAATAATCGAGCCGTACCACACCTGGCATCAGTCTATTATTGTCGGCCAAACTAAAGAGCCTGAAAAATCCAATCGGTGCGAATTTGCACTAGTGTGACTTTAGCGTGGGGAATTTCTGTCACATTAGTCGTAAATTCGTACGTTTTCCGAGATTTTACCTACAGAAAATTTTTTATTGTCGTCACTGATGATTTTATGAAGAAGAATGAACGTCGAAAAGTTCTGTGCGCTTACTACATTCTATTTCATCACAATACAACTGACAAACGTGCCCACAAAAAACTGCAAGGTATGTTTCACAATCCAGCCAGTCAACTATAAGCTATTCCTTTTATGATACTTTTATAGTTGTTTTGATAACCTCTTGTTTCGTACGAGACTCCGCTTGTAATCATAACAAAAAGAAATGACCCTCTTCCATTATTCTTTCTATTCATGAAATTATACATGATTTGCATTCGGTTGTTTTCCACATCGAGATAAGTGCTATTGATGATGCTCCTATTGTCAGTGCCTTTTTGTGAATGGGTATAATATTCCTATTGTTTTGGCACATACCGAATTACCAAAATATGACCTACGGACACCGGAATAATGCCAAACGTTATTATAATCGTCTTCAAAGTGTTGTTGTAACGCAAACTAACGGGTATATTGAATTGGGCGAGGTTACTGTTTTTTTGTGATGACTGTCAGCTAGAATAGAATGACTAATATGGTAATGACTCGAATAATACTGGCTACATTTATACCCCAATACATTTAGGCAACGAAAATGTAGCTTTCCTACATTAAAATATATTTTACTTTAAATTACAAGTCCCAGTAACGTCTTCTGCATTGCAAATATCAAAAAACATGATCCGTTTCCCCAACGTCAATAAGTTATGGAAATTCTTGCGTTAAGGGACTTTGTCAGCATCTTAAGGCCCAATGTTTATATTTCAACGAGAATGGAAAGCAGGTAGGTTTCTTGGACTTACAAGTTAATTCCCAATATTAAATGTAGAACGGTTAAGGAAATAAAAATTTCTGTCTTGTGAAATGGTTTAAAAAACAGGGACTTTAAGTGAAAGGAACGTTGCGATTTTTAACAAATTTAATATGGTACATAGCGCGATATTCTCGGGGTTACAACTCAATTTTCAAGATTATGAGTTTAAATCAAAGGAAAATACACTGTTTATACAAGTTGATGCGAGTTAATATGCCCAGCATACGCGACATTTACCGAAGAGGGAGATTTAATTTACCTTCACGTTTAAAACAGAAGCGACTGACGAAAAATTGCTTACTCGCATCATTCGAATCTGTAGCAAAATTGCATTCGTATCTACGTGTTCTTCTAAAATGAAAAATTCGTGAGTCTCGAAGTTGTCTTTGATTAATTTAAAAAAGCGGGATCCTGAAATCATGTACGTAAAACAAAAACTGAGATTTTATCTTACAAGATTTGTTTCTCGGTCTCGACGTAGCGTATTATTTGAAATTTGCAGGTGTCCAAGCAAACAGAATGATCGAACGCGAGCGAGCGATGGCCGAGGCGAGCGAGCCAGCCAAGTGCAACGTTGACGAATCTAAAGGCTTACTACTTTAGTCACTAGCGAATCTACAGAAACTCTCGTTAGACTTTAGATGTACTCCCGTACCCGATAAACCTCCTTAATATAATTTAATAAAAATTTTATGTGATGGACACTAGTAAGGACCTCTTAAAATAGTGTCCTTGGACATATTTAGCTTTTTTAGTTTACCTGGGGCGGGCTAAGCTTTACAACTTACTGCCTAAATTTTTAACGCCCTGTATGATAAAGACTTTAAAATAATAAATCTGGGTAGCTTCAACCTTAAACTAAAAAAAGGTACTCTTGTTTATTGTCGACGAAATGGACCGTTTATGAGAAAAAGAATAATAAACGAGTTCATGTTTTATTTTTAATAAAAATTGCCTTGATTTCTATTTTTTCTATTCTAAAAATCGACATTAAATCTAGGATGCACTGACAAACCAATGAATTCAATACAATAAATGTTTTATGATTTGCAACATTAAATTATAATTTATTTGTTTATTTCCTACTGTTTATACCCAAAAATTATTAAAGATTGTTTTTAATGAAAACTTTTTTATTATTGGTTTTATGAAAAATAGTTATTCTTCATAAAAAGTTTTGCGTGGTCTAAAAACTAAAATGCAACCTTCAGTGATCAAAATTTCCCAGCCATATACGAGGTATATCAGAAATTATGAATTTTGCTCAAGAGTAAAGTATCTTTATTTTTGATAATACAGAAGAATGTTATAAAGAAGTTATTTTGAATTAAGTTATTTTCAAATATGCAATTACAGCCATTCAGCATGGAGATGGTTTTGTGATTATTTACGTTTTACATTATAAATTATTTGTATTTATCTCTCTTATCTGTTAAAAATATGATAGCCTTTAAATTTGTTAATGTTTATGAACAACCTTGCAATTTAAATACGTAACGAATGCATAATAATTATTTATTTAAGAAATAGGAAAATCCATACAAAGATCATACATATTTATACAAAAACAAACATAATTTTGCATATTTGAAAATAACTTTTAATTCAAATAACTTTTCTTTATAATATTCTTCTGTATTGTCAAAAATAAAGGTACTTTACTCTTGAGCAAAATTCATAATTTCTGATATGCCTCGTATATGACTGGGAAATTTTGATAACTGAAGGTTGCATCTTAGGTTTTAGACCATGCAGAACTTTTTATGAAGAATAACTTTTTTTCATAAAACCAATAATAAAAAAGTTTTCCATATGGTTCCAACTTAAGTAGACACAGTGTATATTTTTTCCATGCTCTCATTTTCGTGACTAACGTATTTTTCCCTCAATTACACCCGTCAAACTACCCGCATCCACGTCACTGCTATTGGCAATTTTCCTTCATTCCTATAAGTATTTTGAGTTGTTAAACTAACAGCATCATAGCACCCGTATTTTTTTTTTCTCGATCCACAAGCGAATACCTACCCTTTCTAAAACCTGGCTAATTCCCCGCAAGTCAAAACGACCCCATGCAGCAAGTGTAATCCATTAAAGGCGCCAAAGACAACAACGGATCCTCCAAGAGGGCTATTATTCCACAAACTGTCAACCCCCGGTAACTCTCGACAAGCACAGAACTAATCACCGTCAGGGCAAAAAACCACAGGCCACACACACACTCGTACACACTTAAAAATGCACTCTCCCGAATATCCCAATCATTTTAGAACCGGGCGAAGATTAACATTCGAAACACACTCGAAAATATCCAACGAGGCGCACAGCGAAACACTCGTAATCACCGACACTGACAGACCGGGTCGACCCATTTAAAAAAAAAAATACCAGCGCAGAGAGGCGATAGCGACGATAAACTATCACTCGGTATATCCGTCGGCGGGCGACCCTGTCGTGCCCAGCGCGCTGTTCGACTGTAAACACCAAGCGTTAGGTAAATACTTTTATCCGATTTTAACTCGGTTTGGCTTTCGAATTTTGTGATGCGCCGAGGTTCGGGAATCTCTCCGGCCGCTGGGGCGTTAGGGCCTACGGTGGGGTGGGAAAGACGTCTAGCGTCAGGGGGTGGACGAGGCGGCTGGGGCATTCTGAAAAATTGCCTCGCTTTCGACTATTGCTCGCAGACGGTCTGGGTGCGGGCGAGATCTTTTCGAATTTGTCGTCGCTGGGTAGTTTGTCTGTCTGAGGAGTGACGTGTTTCTTTAAAAATTAGCAGATGGAAAGTATTTTATGGTTATCAGACATCAGTACATCCCCATGATTTTACGGGGTATGCAAATACGTAATAAATTTTCATAATTAACCAGTTAATGTCAAATTGACGTAATAGGCCCATTCAGTAAAATTTTTTTATTGCATATTTCAAAAGTTTACCCTTTAATTAGTTAGTATGCCACAAATTAATTTTTTGTTTCAACGAGAAATGTGTGAAATAAATTAATGAAAACAGAGCGCGGAAAAACGTTGAGCAACCATTGCCTGACGTCATAATAGAGCACTCCGCTCACGCTCGCTCTCTTCCCATTCTGTGTTAATACATACGATATGTGGATCGATTCGCAGTTTCGTTAATTATTGTTTTTATGTCTAAATGGGTCGAAACCGAGGATTGTACAAATATTGTATAGTTCCAGGCTGCAAAAGTACCTCAGGATCGACTCCGAATAAAATATTTATTTCATTACCGAAAAATGAAAAGTTTGTGTGATGTTATCCACGGTTTCCCCAGCCACGGTATGCAACTCAAAACCACCTTCGTTTTTCTTTGGATGCACGTCTAGGGGGTTGTAAAATATTATTATTTGAACATTTAGAGCACAATTCTCAACTTTATGCCGGAAATAAATTCTGCCCCATCTAAATGTTCGTGTTCACAAAAAATTCGAAATACGACGGCGACAGGGACCTATAAGCAGTTAAGAACCACTCTAGTTTTTCTTTGGTTTTCCATCTAGAGGGTTTTAAATATTATTATTTGAACATTTAGAGCAGAATTATAAAATTTATGCTGGAAAAAATTTCTGCCCCATCTAAACGTACCCGTTCACAAAAATTTCGAAATACGTCGGCGAGAGGGACCTATAAGCAACTCAGAACCACCCTCGTTTTTCTTTGGTTGCCCGTCTAAGAGGTTATAAATATTATTATTTAAACATTTAGAGCAGAATTTTCAAATTTATGTCGAAAAAATAAATTCTACCCCATCTAAACGTTCCCGTCCACAAAAATTTCGAAATACGTTGCGAGAGGCACCTATAAGTAATTTATTTAAATAATAATATAGACGGGCAATCAAAGAAAAACGAGGGTGGTTCTGAGTTGCTCGCACATACACGTCGTCGCATACATCCACAAGTACCGAGTCTAGTACGCTGGGTACATTTGTACAAAAATGGAAAGCAACAGAAAATGTAGAAATTAATGTTTACGTCATTGAGAAAAATCCGAAAATGTATTTAGATATTCCAAGACATTCTATGTTTATAATAAATATGTTGTGTGGAAAATGCATTTCAACAAGACTTGATGTATATCTCTTATACACTCTCTATTTATACACTTAAAAATATAGGTATATAATATAGGTAAAAGTATAGCAAATATCTACACATCTCTCCGACTGCTCGCGACTTGATCGTCGAGTGGCCGGTATCGTGACGTCATTACCTGTTCTCCCGCAGTGTTGACCTTTTTAAGGGTCTTACAAATTCAAAATTAAATATATCACTTATTATTAATCCTATTGACCTAATTTTTTTAAGATATATTTAGGTGGTTAAATACTATCAGAAAATGAAAGAAAAAGTTTAAAATTATATATCACTGAATGGGCCTATTATATAGACCGGGGTGGATCTGTCGAAATATCCCACTTCTTGGATAGGTATTAGAGGTCCGGAACATTTTCAAAATTGCAAAAATGTTTAAAAAATACCTATTTTATCTGAGTTTTTGACATATCTTCGAACCTATGCATTTTGAAAGAATATTGAAGAGGAAAAATGTTTTAGAATTGAATATACTGAAGTTAAAAATGTTTAAATTTATTACCGATGTTGCAAATTTACAATAATTGATGAACAAAAAACAATAATCAAGTTTTTTTTAATATTTTTTTATATTTTAATTGCTCCGAGGGCATTCTAATTTTGGTAAAAAAAACTTTAGAGTATAATGAAACAACACACCAAATTTCATTAAAATCGGTTCGATAGTTTTCCCAAAATAATTTCTTAAAAAAATGTTGAAAAAAAAAATTTCGAATTTTCAAAATGTTGCACAGCCTCAAATAAAGCATCTAGATACTTGAAAATTTTTTCACATAGAAAAGACCGCTCAACCTTTCAAATGGTGTTTCAAAAATTGAAATCGCTTGATTAGGACGGCCACAGAAAATTTTTAAAGTTACACTCTTTTTTTTATTTTTAAACATTTTTTTTACATTTATCAATTTGCAATTCAGTTTTTTTCAAAAATTATTATTTTAAAGTACTCGGAAAGACGCTTCTTTAAAAAAAAAAGTTAAATTCCGTTTATTGGTTCTCGAGATATAAACTGTCAAAATTTATCGGCATTTACCGTTAATTTATAAACAATTTAGCAATAATCTAAGATCCAGTGGATTAGTCTTTCCGAGTTCTAAGCTGGAAAAAATTTTCATATCCATAAGTTATCGTCAACATAGATAAATCAGCGGAAAAGCTGTCGCTCGCACGCGCGAAAGGTGATTCGAAACACGAAAAGTGGGGGAGGGGGCTTTCGCTCCGAGACTGAATTCGGAGGCTAAAAATGGGAAGGTACGAAAAAAATTGCATCATCACGGCTTCTAGTGGAAAAATTTCGATCTAAGGTTGACATTTTCCATTCTGAGAAAAAAAATGGTATTCACTTTTAATAGTAGGAGCTAAAGTCGACACTTTTAATCCTTATATTAAAAGTGTTAATTCAAAACACAAATTAATATTAAATGGAGGATTTCGCTTGGAGAAAAAATAACATGTTTTATTCGGATTAAAAGTGTCCTTTTTTTCTCCCATTTTTGCATCGCACAAAAGCAACACTTTTAATTCTAATATAACAATAAGCTATTTTCTGCTGTCGCTCCAGAGTAGTATATTAAACAAGCTTAGAAAAGCAAAATTTTACTAAACGGATACAGGGTGTTAATGAACTTATGTCAAAAATTTAAAGGGGCAAGAACTGAGTTAACAAACTTGTATCGGAACTTTAAGGTCATAAAGAAAATAGCTAATATGTTTAAAACTGTCTTGGAACTGCTGAAATACATGTATTTTATCGCAGAGTACTTACAAAACGTGACAATGTTGCAACGAGTGCGAGCGAATTGGATACGTCGCGCTGAAGCTTGTGTGCAAGCAAATGGTGGGTACATCGAACATCTTCTACGAAAATCAACAGTTCCCAAAAGGTGTCTCCTTGCAATGTTGAGATAAGTCAGATTTTAAAATAACATTTTTTTGAAAATTTCGTCGGTTATTTTGGATCCGCCATCTTGAATTTTGCAAAATTGACCTCGAATTCGAGATCATCAACTCCGGAAACCCCCGTATACCAAATTTGGCGCGAATCTCTTATTTTTTGAAAATTTGCTCGGCCATCTTGGATCCGCCATCTTGAATATTGCAAAATTGACCTCGGATCCGTGATCAGCGGCCCTGAAAACCCCCGTAAACCAAATTTGGCGCGAATGTGTTATATTTGAAAATTCGTGATATCTTGACCCGTTTTTTTGAGTTTAGAAAAAAAAACATTAATTTTGATCGCGGATTCACGTTCGGCGGGGTCTTTACCATATAAATGAACATTTGAATATAGAAAAAAAATTTTTTTGTATTTTTCCTAGCACTTTTTCGTGAATTTTTGCTATTTAGACTTATTTTTTGAGGTTAGGAAAATACTGTGATGTGATAGCTCAATTCTGACACCGGATTCGTGATCAGGAGGGAGGCAAAAATACTACGGATAACATATGTCGCATGAAAAGTACCGACAACTTTTTCTGTGTGCGACTATGTGATCAAACACTTAAAAGACATGGAAGATGGCAGTAAACTAGTGTGGCTGAAGGGTATATCAAGGAAAGCATCGTCAAAAAGTTGAAAATTTCAAAAAGTATATTTCCTCAGCAAGAACTAGTGGCAATTCAAGACCATTCAGGAATGCAGATAGAGAATCATAATAGTTTTCAGGAAGAACAAGTATAAAATTGAATAAATTTCGTGTTGTTAACTTTTCAAATTTGAGTAATTGTGAATGTAATGAACTTTTGTCTAAAAGTTGTTTTTTCTGCTGGAATTTTTTTATTTACAGTTTGAAGATGTAAATTACCACAATTCCCTTGAGATTATCTATTTAGTTGGAATAATGTCCATATTTAACCAGTAACGAAAACGTATAGCCTACACCTACATTTTTAAAAGTACACGAAAGGGCGTGGGCCCAAGACAATAAAAATAAAAAGACGGCATCTGCATAATATCCCTCTTTATTCCCCAGGCCTATATTTAGGGTGGAAAATAAAAATATAACTCCGCGAGCCGCCGTTTCATTATTACTTTTACGCATGAAAAATTACCAGTTTTGTATTAACTTCCAAGTTAAATCGTCTGGATAAATCACACAAGCTAACCTCTGATATTTTGTTCGACAGGAGTAATCCGATGAAAAAATATCACCGCTGCGCCACGTCTGCCAGGAATTTGTAAATTCTTCT